CAGCTCTTTTAAAAAATTTAAATATGTCCAAATTTTCTTCAAAGAATTTGTAAGTCTTCTTAAAAATATTTTCAAATTTTAAAATCACGTACATTTTTTAATGACACTGTTTCATGTCATGAAGTATTTTTTTGTCTCCCAATTTATATTCAAAAGAAATGAATTTGATGTGTGTGCTCAGAATCCATTAGTTCAGGAAAATGAGTTTTTCCTGCAGGGGAATTACAATTGAAGCATTTGTCAGAACCAGAGTAATGAATAACTCTGATATGTTACAAACACTTTACTGATGCGGATCTGTCAGCTGAGGAATACTGGTCCAAATTATAGGTTGCATGTCACTTTGATCTTGTTAACGTTACAACCTTAATGGCATCACCTGACCTCACTGTATAATTACATTTTTCAATTCTAATTTTAGGACTTAATGACTTAACCTTTCACATTCTCTGTTCCCTAAGTAATAATTAAAGTTTCAGGAATATGATAGGCTGTTGTCCTGCTTTCTAAGCACCTGCAGCACTGAGTGCAGGGTGCTTATTGTTGTTATTTGTTCTAGTTACAAGACACATATTAGCCAATTTTTATTTGTATTCTAAATCTAGACATATTCCCTTATGCCCCCATTTCACTTGCGTTGCGTCAGTGTCAATCAGGGTCGGTCAGTAAATTTTGGGCTGTCGCAAAACTGTTNGACCTCTACCTGGTGCTCGTCGTCTCCTGTTGGAGTGTCTCCGGGCTGCATCACGGCTTTGCCCTTCGTCTTCTTTATTGCCTGTCTTAACGTTTTTCTTGATTTCTTTGGTGGCATGATGCTTTGGAAAACAAATGTATCACTAGCCAATCGTATGTGGCGCACCCGTATTTATAGCAACCGACATTGACCAAACTACAACCCAAGCTGACCGAATATTGACGTAACACTGGCGCAGGCTGACGCAGCATGACCGAATGGCGACCCATGTCTAACCCCGCCAGGCAGTGCATGACGGTCCCTGACATTGTTTGCTGACTGAATGTGACCGAATGTCGACTCAGAGCAACCGACTGTGACGTAACACCAACGCAGAGAAACGCACTGTTGACCGAGTCTGATAAAACACTCGGACAGGCAGGGTTTCTCAGGGTTTGTGTTAGGTCGATGGGGGTTGCTATTCGGTTAGACTTACGTCACCTTGCGGTGAAGTTCGGTTGATGAGGGTTAGTACTCGGTCAAAATGCTATCTTGGCCTGTCGCAGCCGATTTTTATGCATGCTCAAAATTTGCCGGGGTCAGAAAATGTTCTCTCGGTCACTCTGCGTCAGTTGGGGTTTCTCGACGTCACCCTTCGGCCAGTGCTTGGTTGATATTCGGTCAATCTACGTTCCTGTCGGATGCTGTCGGATGGTGGCTAACCGACACCGACGCCGCCTGTCGTATCCTAGTGAAATGGGGGCATTACTAATGATCATGACAGACATGATCATAGATTGAACAGGACTTTGAAACATGTTTTCTGAATGAAAAGTGAAATGAATCTGTGCTAAGCTGTCTCCAAGATACATGCATCTGCAATTTTTATTAAGGACTCTAGTTGAATTCAGTAGGTCTTGAGAAATGACATTTCAAGTTTTTAACACTTTTGATTCAGATTTTTTCTGTTCCCTTAATTTTGCTAAACCTAGTCTGGATACTGCCATAGACCAGGTAGCTCAGCTGATTAACTCATTCACCCCTGAAATTTCATAATGAACAAGTCTAACCTTTTAATTGGTAGAGTTCAAATGTGTCTTTAAGGGTAAATTAGTTAAAGCAACATTGTTATGTTCCGTGGTCCTGGGTTCAAATCCCCTGATTTGGCCACAATGCATTTTTACAACTTAAAACCTGTTGTTGATATATGGAATATAGAAGTAATATCAACAGAATCTTCCCAAAAAATGCAGGATCCTTGCAAATGTATGTTTGTAGGATAAAAATTACTTAATATTGGTATATGGGGCAAGGAAGTTATTCCAACGGTGTAGGCAGTATGAGGTTGTCACACTTTTAGAGCAATCAGCTCTTTAACAAGACACAGACAAAAAATAGAACACTTACATTATATATTTATATATTTGCTACACTTACATTATATATCTATATATTTGCTAACTCTTTGTCTTTTTTCATGAAAATTTCCAATTTTTAAAGAAATGTTATAGCAATGCTGGAAACAAAATTTCCAATGTATAGATAGTTTCAGTTTATAAACGTGGTAACAGAATCGTTAAGGGTTGAACTAAACAAAAAGCATGTGAGCTCTGAATTATAATCTGAAATGATGTGCTATGTTTAAAATTCATGCCAAGCCAGCATGGCATCCTTTCCACATGAACACATGTATCCAACGAAGTCCTCTTTGATAACGACAAAACTAGCTCACATGAAAAAAAAAGATAAATAAAAAAATTCTTTGGAGAAAATCATTAAATGTCAGATGAATTCATTTGACAGCCTACATGTTGAAATAGCATGCAACCCTTGTATATAACACCTACATAAAGTTGACATTTATGGCATAATTTTACTGATCAAAGCTTTGTACTTTGCACTTATATATACAAAATGTGGTAAGACTACACAAAAACACCACTCAACAGTGGGTGCTACAGTGTGTGCATAAGAGCTGGTACTATGGGAAAGACATACCATTGGAAGCAGACCCATTGCAAAGCAGAACATGAATCAACTCCATGGCCAGCACCAGCACAGCCACATAATGAGGTATTATCAAGGTGGCTTAGGACCAATAGTTAGCACATAATATAAAAGCTCCTGTGAAATCATCATATTATCATTGACTGTATTAATTTAATGTGTTAATAATAATATCTGCCATGCATGTATCTGTTGGGTATGTGTTTATATGCTTATAGTGTGGGGTCCTAAGTTGTTTTGCAGGAAATTACCATGGAACTGAAGTTACCCAGGTCTGCAGCTTGACCCTGAGGCAAATCCTGGTAGCATGATTTGGTTTGTCTCTTCATGCGAAATATATGTATATTGTTAAAAGGTAAGCATCTCAACCATTTGCAAGTTTCAGACACAAAGACCCCAGTGACCTTGAAATTAAGTCAGGGTCATTTATATTATAAAAACTTGACATTACTTTATCCTTGGTACATACTGGCCAAAATACATATCTTCAGCCAAATGAAACTTTGGATCTTTTTGGCTTTTTAACCATTATTCACAGTGAAATAACTCATTTTCATTGGGTTTTTAAATATGTTGATTTTGTGGGTTCTCATCATTCACGAAATTATAAGTCTGTATCTTCTGTACGAGTAGTACACTGCAAGCTGCCTTGGGTAGTAATAATCCAGAAATTCTTGTACCAAAGAAATAGTGGGGTTTTTTTGGGAAAACAATGACACTTGGACCCCATGAACATATCCAATTTCACAGAAGTGCATGAGAACATTTGACTAATTTGACCTAAATATCTAAACTAACAGATCTTAATTGATGTCTATGTAATATATATAAATATCATTTATCTAGACCAACGTTTGTTTAGGTAATCTTTTTGTTTTTGGCATTATTTGGAATCTGTGATCTTGAAAGTAGGTCAAGATTACTTGTTTGAGGAACCGTTGTAACATACAATCCCAGGTACATGAACCTATTGAACACATGTTATGACTCCGGGCTATTTTAAGAAGGGGTGGTTAAAAGAAACAAAATGACATATTGACTCTAGATACTGACCCTATCATAAGCTCACCAGGTAATTTCAGCTAGGATACCTGTTCATTGGGAACATAAAAGCTCTTTTTTATTTTTAGAAGTTTCAGATTTAGAGCAATGGGTTTTTAAGGTGTTCTATTTCTAATGTAAAGAAACAGGGTTGTGTTATAAAACTTACCAACTTTTTTTTTTTAATTTTGAAGGTCATAGGTAGAGCAATGGGTTTTTTAAGATGTCCTATTTTTATTGTAGACATATAGGGTCGTGTCATAAACAGTCATCTGACTACGAAGACTGAGCAGGGGAATGGTAACTTTTCAACTTTCAGTGAAATATTCTAAGAATGTGTTTTCCATGATGGTAGTTTTGGTCAGCAGAGGGTAACTATTTGTCAGTAAATTAAGCTATCAGAAAGCATTTAAACCTAAATCGGAATAGATTTCTCCTTTTAAGGCCCCGTCCCGCTGTCAATGGTGGTTAAACCTGCCTCATTTATATAAGAAATTTTTGTTTCTAAATGATGTTTCATACTGAAATTGTTGTAATCTATTTTTGGCATTAACGAGTAGTGTTTAAAAGCAGGATTTTAGGTAATTTCCTTTTCCTTTCCCTCCCTTAATGAAATTTCATACCATATTTGGTTGCAATATCCATTTAGGCATTAAGGAGGAAAAGCATTTTAAAGCAAATTTATAGCTGAGTTCCACTTTCGTGGCCCGGATCGAAACATCCCCCACCAATTTTTCGCTCAATGGCACCAGTGGAAGTATAAAATATGTTTTTTAAGATGGTGGCCATCTTGGATTTTGGACCGACCCGAAAAATAACAACACTTGGTCAGGACCATCTCAGGATCATTTCAGCTCAATCCCACTGGTGGAACTTGAGAAGAAGTTTAAAATAGGTGTTGTTAAGGAAAACCATGATTGTGCAATCATGTTACAAAATGGCCACCATGGCTGCCATGTTGAAGTTTTGACGGGGCTGAAAAATAACAACACTTTGTTGGCTTCCTGTCCTTAACATCACCACCAACTTTTAGCTCAATGGCAGCAGTGGAACTGGAGATGAAGTATAAAATATGTTTTTTAAGATGGGGGCCATGTTGGATTTTGGACCGACCAGAAAAATAACAACACTTGGTCAGGACCATCTCAGGATCATTTCCTATAAGTCATCCTGACCCTTTGTGGGTTTTTTATTTTGGAGGTTACAGATAGAGTAACAGGTTTTTAAGGTGTCCTATTTTTTATTGTAGAGATACAGGGTCGTGCCATAATAGACTTACCATCCTTTCTGTAGTAAAGAATTTCCACCTGCTTTTCTTCCGACCCCTGTAAGGCGTCTTTGATCTGCAGGATCCCGAAGGAGCTGGTGAGAGGGCCATGCAGGAAGTCACAGATACACGACTTTTGTATGACCTCGGCTCGGGAAGATCCTGTGAGCTGGCAGAATCCATCGTTACAGAAGAGAATGGGACATGTCTCAACTTGGGCATTTGCAATCACAAATTTACGATCTGAAAAACATAATTGAAAGGACAACATTAATTTTTTATTACATTATTTAATGATCATGTAATGTTATTTATTTAAAAGCGCATTCGTAGAAATTTTGAAAGCTGGACAAAAAACTTTGATTGTGAACTAATCGCAATCACCTTCTGGGACAAAACTCCTGGTTCTATTACAAATATCTCGAAAATGGTGAGAGTGGTCTCCCCTTGTAAACGTCAAGACAAAAAATATGAACTTCAATAACCATGTTTATGATTGACATAAAGTCTATTGACATATTAGTTTAACTGTAAAATTTTATTTAAGGAAACAAATGTTTGGTAAGCGAAGACATCATCAATATTTGCAGTTCATGCACCTAATAAAGCATCACAAGGAATTGCATATAAATTATAATAAAGGGCAATAACTGTCAAGACTCATGCTGGTCTGACCTTGACTTGGCGGCGGCGCTAAACCATAAAATCTGACATGTAACGAGAACATACATATTCCTGAGTCAGTGGGTCATAAATACCAATACAATTCAATTTGCTGTGCCATTGGCGTTGATATTGTTATCATTTCAAGCTATATTAAATGGTGACATCTGGTTTCATTTGTAAAGGTATTCTCCAAGGCGGCGCTGTTATTGGCTCATGTTATGTATTTTACGATGATAACGTCAATACAGACAGCTTCTGGGAGTATGTGGATGCTTCGAATGACAGAACCACTCCACACACGATCGTCCAAAGTCACCGCCACGAGTGGCTCTGGACGTAGCTGTGACATTTACATAGGTGGCCTAACCGATAACCTGAATCGCTATACTGCTGAGATGAGCACCCTCCCGGGCTGCGGGACCATATCAATGCCACTAGCTGTCTATATGATAAACAAGATGTTATGATTTGCTATCTATTATATCATTATCAACGAAGTGTAAGTCACATGCAATACTGCCATCCATCAGCCACAAAATCCATGGTAAGAGCCATCTATCAGCTACGGAATTCAGAGTAAGGGCCTACCTATTGGAAGTTTGAGACAAATACACATGCTGGGTTCTGTTTCCAATACTGTAATGGACAGAGAGTGTGGTAAATAACAGCCACATATCTGACGGTGTGGAATAGTTTAATTTTGGATTTCCTGTTATCTTTACATGCATCTGTATCAAGATATTCCGATAATCAAATAAAATATTGTTTATGAATCGTATGATCACTGTATTTACTTAATTTGAATATATCATAATTTCATACTAAAGCTATCACTCAAGATTCTTTTAACTCATTAACCCCTGAAGACACATTTTAAATCTTCCAATTCAAAGGTTGGATTAGTTCATTATGAAATTGCAGGGGTGAGTGAGTTAATCAAATGATCCTTATTAGAATAATTTACATGTCATTTTTCTTTCATTCCCATTGGTTGAATCGTAAGCATGTGAAGGTCTGTGATTTGAGATATTGACTCACAGTTTTACTATTTTAAGAAACAGCAGGTTAATATTCTCTTGATGACCTCATTTCAATTGTTATGTCACAATGTCCTCTGCAAAATGCACTACTTCCCTACTTACAATTTTCATACCTTCCATCTTGTTTAATGATAAGCACTCATGATTTTACTGTAATGTCAGAACTTACACATTATATCACCCACAAAGTTAACTGGGGTATGTTATTCTACAGTGGCAGATTTTAATTGTACACAGGATGAAGTCGCCTTCTTGTTTTGCGCTAGAGGGATTTTCCCTTTAGCTCAGTGGTAGAGCTCCCGACTAGGAAGTCTGGGATCAGGTTCCATACATACCCGGTGGAATCGCACAACTTTCTTTTCTGTTACAAATGGTGTCCTTGACCCTCCCTGTGGTGACAGGGAGTTAGACTGGTGTTCAAGGGCAAACACTTTTTAAAGCGGGGAGTAGTGTGGCAGATTTTAATTGTACACATATGAAGACGCTTCACAAGAAATCTTGTTTAGAACTGTAGAATTATCATTAAAAGATTGTCAAACAAAGCACTGTCGTCCATTACAAAGAATCTTATGCAAGCTACCTGCCTATAGCCTTAGATTTGTTTATAGTTTACGAAAAAATAGATGTGATTATTGATTCCCTGTAAATCTATATTTATACTTTAGATTTCTATGGATCTTTTCGAACTAAAATATAAGATCACTGATGTCCTTCAAATCTAGGCCAACTATTTCTGATCTGAAGCAAAGCTGGTTTTTCTGATCTGAAGCAAAGCTGGTTTTCAAAGTTCAATTACAAATTGCCTGGGTTACATTAAAGGTTTATCAGTGGTAGAATAGTTATGTTAAATAATTTACGTTTTATTTTTCCAAAAGGATCAATAATTTTACAAGAATTCAATGATACAAAAAGAATTCAGAAATCTGAAAAAAGAACTTCTTTAACTCTATCTTGTCTATACAATTCAGTAAATTGAAACACAGGTGACAAGGTTTGGATGAGCAGCATCCCTGGTTTGCTAAACTGTGAAAAAAATATTAATTCTCTGTCAGTAGTTATATTCATTTTCTGCTAAATGGTCAAAATTACCTTCAATAGAGAGAAAACATGGTTATCATTTTTGTGTCTTGACAGGTTTACTTGGCGAAGAAGCATATGACCTTGGCCAGTCTTACTTGGCAAAGAAGCGTATGACCTTGGCCAGTCTTACTTGGCGAAGAAGTGTATGACCTTGGCCAGTCTTATATTTCCGACAAGCTTGTTTTTCCATCCCACACCAAAATAAACCTTGTACATGTGTGTTACACTGTAACCCTACATACTATTCCATTCCCTCGCCCCATCCCCCAAAAAATAAACCTTGTACATGTGTTTTACACTAACCCTACATACTACTCCACCTCCTCGCACCAACCCCTAAAAAATAAAAGGTCATATTCTACTGGGGAAAAAAGTTGGTTAATGGTGTTTAATATGGTGCCAAATATGAAACAAAATGTGAAAATGAAGTTACAACTGAGCCATATCATTGACGGCAATCTCATCTAACAATTCAGTCAATTTCATTACAAAGTTAAAATGATTAATGAATAGCAACCCAAACACCGAGTTTGAGCTTGAGCTCTGTGTTATTTTTCATATTTCAACTTAAATTTTGAGAATCAATATTTTATTCTAAGAGATACAGAGAACATTTATACAATGTACACCATTTAAAAACCAATTTTGTCACAAGTCATCTGCTTTAGTTATAGGGAGACCATGTGCAATAGTGAATTAGATTTAACTGTCTTTACAAACTTGCCTCACAATGAATCACAGAAAATTAGAATATTCTCCGGAATGTTTTGATTCTGAATTATGTGTTCAATAATGCTGTACCAGTAACCTCGAAGTAGACCCGGCCTGTCGTAAATCAAAGTCTATTACTGTAATCTTGCTCAGCATTGCACTCAAACATCCAGTGGACTATGATCAGTACCAAATAATCCCCTGATATGAAACACAAATTAAGTATGGTACAGTTATGTTTTCAGACAATTACTGTAGTGAGCATTCTAATATTAAATATCCTTTTTATCTGACAACAATTAATATGGCTTTCCTGTTAGTCATTTTTACAGATGTATAAACCAAATTATCCAAAATGGAAATTCCTTTGTACAAGATAGGTCCAAACTCCCAAGCCCCCAGGAGGTGAATGAGGTTAAATGTGATTGATGTAAATCATGGATACAAAGAGTATGTAATTATGTACTTTAACATCTTTGTACTAATATACAGTGTTGCCATGGAAACAACCCAGATGGCTCAGTTTACCATAAAATACTCTCTAAACACCATTAGTCTGATCTGTGAATCCCAATGCAATCAGTTCCAACCATTATAAGATTGTTAATTGTTTCCGTAATCAGTAAACCATGTCTTTATTAGTAGTGATTTTTTAGCCATGTTGATTTCTGATTGTAGCTCATTCTTAAAGCTGAATATCTTCTTCTGAGTTTTAATCAAATCTGTTCACTATCCACATGATTCAAAATGACATTGGCCAGTGAAAGTGTGCTGTTTTTAATAATTAACTGACTGTATGTATGCCTGTCACCAAATGTTGAATTAATTATGATAGCAGGACAGTTTCCACCTAAAACATGATGCAACATCAGATTATTGTCAAGTCCTACAACACAACAATGCTGTATTTGACAATGATGTGTAAACATTTCTATTTCAAAAATATGATGTGATAGATGATATTGTTCTGACGTCACCAGAATTGTATCAGGTTTGCTTAGTGATCTGAATTTGTTACTACATTACACCATATAATCTTCAGAATCTAAAAATATCACAGCTCAGCAAACATTTCCTCTGCTGGCACCACCTTAATACCGAACATTTAATTATTTCCACGGCGGACCAGCAGACAAAATTGTCTCCTAAATTGAAACCAGAAACAACATCCCAAGATATTTTCATTTCATTTGTCTGTAGATCTGATATTTCCCCTACAAATAGTCAATTCTTATCAATTTCATATAGAAGCTGTCAGACTGTTGTGTGCTGTAGAGCTGTTTTATGCCGAATTATTATTCAATGATATAGACAGGATACAACAGCACAATGTCACAATTACAAACAGGAAACAAATCTCAAACCTAACAATACTTGTCTCAATCAGAGGGGAAACTGTCCACCAATACACCAAATCTAACAATACTTGTCTCAATCAGAGGAGAAACTCTCCACCAATACACCAAAGCTAACAATACTTGTTTCAATCAGAGGAGAAACTGTTCACCAATACACCAATCCTAACAATACTTGTCTCAATCAGAGGAGAAACTCTTCAACAATACACCAAACCTAACAATATTTGTCTCAATCAGAGGAGAAACTGTCCACCAATACAACAAACCTTACAATACCTGTCTCAATCAGATGGGGAACTGTTCACCACTACACCAAACAATACTTGTCTCAATCAGATGGGGAACTGTTCACCAATACACCAAACCTAACAATCTTGTCTCAATCAGA